CCACCAGGGATTCTCACTTGGGCTGAGAAAATACAGAATACAGCTCAGCTATCAGGATGTAACTCTAGTCTAGACCCTTATCCACAAATATATGTGGAGAACCTGTAAGAACAATGCTTTTGAGGAATACCATCAGTCTGAAAGAGAGGCACGAAATTCAACCCACTGAATAATGAAACAGCAGAGGAGACAGTTTAATATAGAGTACAGAATAAATCCTCAGAGATATTTGAGAAGATGCAGTATCCACTGAAAAGAGGTTACTGTGTAAAAGAAAACTAAGTTTATTTTGAAATTAAAACATTTTTTAAAAAGCTTTTTGGCCATGCTACTTGGCATGCTGAATGTTAGTTCCCTGACCAGGGATTGAACTCATGCCCCCTGCACTGAAAGCACAGTCCTAGCCTCTGGACTGCCAGAGAAATCCCAAAACATGATATTTTAAGTAAAAATCAATGGATGGGGTGAAGATCAGATAGCTAGGTTAGGAGAAAGGGCTTAAGGATTCTGAGAATGTAATAGAAAAGGATAGAAAATACAGGAGAAAAGGTTAAAGCAATGTGGAGGCTAGATTTAGGAGTTCTAACATTCTATAATAGAAATTCTAGTAAGAATGAACAGAGAAAATGGAAGAAAGTGTAGAAACAGAAGAAAATTTCTTCACTTCAAAAAGGGCTCAAACTTTTGATTGGAAGATTGCCACTGGGTTCTGGAGGAAGTCTGCCAGAGCTTGTTAGAGTGATAGTGGTGAAAATAAAGGGGATATGAAGAATTTAAGAGTGACTGACTGTGAGAGAAATTTAAGGGCTGAATTGGTGAGAGAAGTGAAATAGCATTCCAGATTTGAAAGTTAGATATCTGAAGAAATGATAGCTACATATCCCACATTGAAGAATGTGGGAAAAAATTGGTAAAGAAACGTAGCTTAAGAGAGAACATATTAGGCTTTAAATGTAAATTTTAAGCAGTTTCATTTTCTTTTTAAGAAAAATTCTGTTACAGATGGGTCTCCTTTTGTTTTTGTTTCCTGTAACTTGAGCAGTTTCATCTAACATGTATAGTTTCATCTAACATTTGAGTCTCTGAGCATGTCTTAGGGAGAGGAACTAGAGTTACATCATAAAATTAAAAGGCACGGAGTTTCAGGAAGCCCAGAAGCAGACAAGTGATTCTTGTATGCTTATGACAAAAAGCAGAGTGAATACATAAGTACCCTGTTCATTTGCCTCAGAGGAAGATTGTGAAAGTGTCTAGGTATCAAAAGATATAAAACAAATAAATTATATTCTTTATCCCTAATTTAAGACAGATAAAATGCCACTGCTATACTTATTAACTTGGCATGGTATTTTTATTGCTTTATTTTAAAGGATGGAAGAAAGTTATTTTAATTTCCTGAGTTTAAGTCAGCTCATTATTTCTCTTAAAATTGTACGTTTTTCTGCTGTGAATTCTTCCATAGCATTTTTAAGATCATGCATCCAGGAAGGGAATATTTTACTGAGCTTAAGGTAACAATGGGGTCCTGGAATTATTTTGAGGGCATTTGATAGACTAAAACTATGTGTTCACCCAAATCGTTGGGTTCTTGGTTCTCTGAACCATTCTGCTGATTTGTCTTCAGATTCAGCTGGTCCCTGGACATGGTTCTTGCAGCAAAGGTAGGGGCACTTTCAGTTACATCATCAGTGTGCGCCCCCTACCACCCCGACTTTGTCACAGTCCATAGAACTTTCCTGAGTAGTCCCATTCTAAGAACATTGGTTTCAGTTTGATTATCAGAGAGGTTTCTAACCCAAAGGGGTTACAAAGTTGAAGTGCAGTCACCTCTGCCTGGACGTTCAAAACATGTTTTTTCCTGGTTTGAGTTTTTATAATGACAAAATAGAAGGAAAAATAACCAGTCAAAATTGTTGAACAGTTACTGCTTACCTGAGTCAAAATAAGGTGAGTGGACACCCTCCATTTAGACCAGAGTATCTGAGGAAATGGATATGATGTGAAATGTTGGGAATAATAGCAAATAAGTCTAATATGGTAACTTGGGTTAATATTTTAGAGCACCCTGAGTTTTGGGGAACTGCTGGAGCTTTCTGAGCAGTGAGTGCTTTGAACAAAACAGTACTTCTGAAAATTAGTCTGCCCACAGATCGCAGGAATGCCCTGGCAGTTGGCACCAGCCCTTACTTGTAGGTTCCTGGTCATTTGTTGTGGGAGTGGCAGAAAGCGAAAGGCCAGTTGAGAGGCTATTTTTGTCCCTTGGGGATCAGGAAATATGAAACTGAGAGTGAATGGTGACACTAGGAATAAAAAGGGACAGATTCCAGGGAACCTGTGGAGAAGGAAGGGACACAGTCTGACAACATGGTGGAATATAAGCAGGGAAGAAGGAAAAGGCCTTAGTGGTCATATGGGGAGAAAGCAGGATTTTCTCCTGATGAAAATCTTCAGCAGACAGCCTGGTGGAAGTGTTAGGAACTACCCTGAGTATTGGATTTGGGGAATTATCTTTGTGTAAATCATAATTGAAACTCTGGAATAAAGAGAAAGAAGAGAATAAGGCTAAGTGTCCTATCCTGGGCAGGACTGCAGTAAGGGGAGAGGGCAAGCAGAGTAGACAGAAGCTGGGAAGATGGGGAGAGACGAGAGTGTCACTTAAACTGAGGAAGGAGATAATGTCAGAGTTGAGGGGATTAGCTGTCAAACTCTTAATAGAAAAGCTGAGAAAAGGAGTTACTGTGCAGGTGGAAAATTCTTAGAGCAGATGGGTTTGGGTTTATGTAGGGAAATTGGGGAGAGGAACCTTAATACCTTAAGGAACCCCATTTATTACCTTCTAAATTGGCTTAATTTCATGTTTTAAGACTTATGTCATTATGCTTAGAAAATTAGCTTACATTTATAATTTTGTAGTTACATTTTTAAAAGGGGAAAATGGACTATGGCCAGAGGTGATTTTGTTGGGGAGAGAGCAGTGACAATTTATTCAGAGCATTTATGTTTTACTTTTTTTTTTCTTTTTTGCATTTTTTTATAGTTGAAATATTTTTGGTTTTGGTTCGTTTAATTTGAACAACTTCAAATAAATAACATGAAACATTCACTTTCCTGAAAATGGATAGAATACATCTCAGAATTGACAAGCTGAACATCTGTTTATTAATGTTAATTGGATTTCTCATGGATATTTCATTAAGGATTATATATGTGTATGTAAATGCAAGTTTAGCATCTGAAAATAATCATAAATAATTTACAGCAAATAAGTACAGTCAGAAAAAGGGAAAAAGGATAAAATGCTGTAGAAATTCAGAGGAGGGGGGATATTATTTTCATCTTTTTCTTTCTTGGGTGTGGGGAAGAGGATTTGAGGGAAGGTCCAAACAGATGATAGCGGAAAGGTGTTCCTGGTAGAAGAAATTCTGAGCCAAGTATAGAATTTGGATCTTATGTGGATATTGAGCACTTTTGTTTGGTTGAAGTGTGTGAATGTGGTGGTCGGGGATGTTGCTTGAAGGAGGAACACTTAGGGAAGATAATGAGAAAAAGATAATTTGCAGCTGGAACTTAGAAGATGGCAGGAGTTTCAACTTTATTTGAAGGAAACAGGGAGCCATTAAACATTTTTTGAACCGAGGCCTGATATCACCTAGCTGATGCTTTAAAAAAATGACTCTTGTTTCTGTTATTTGAAATTTTAGCAAGCATCATGGGGCACTTTTATCATCAGCAAAAGATGATAAAAGTAAAAGAAAGATGTGTTTAATACTACCATTTAGGTTGGATTAGAAAGTGAGAAAGTAGAGATAAGGAAACCAGTGAGGGAGGAAGTTTACGTAATACTTGTAACATGAGTAAGCCCTAATCCCTGATGTCTGCTCTTTTGAAGCAGTGATTAGTATTAAGTAGTATATTATTTGATTGGTTAATTTTTTTGTTGTAAATTTTTGGCTTAAGTAGAAAAGGGAGCATTAAGGTCATTGGGGTGGCTTGCAAAACTCAAGGCAGACTGTAGCTGCACTTCAGAAAGATCTAGAACCAGGACCAAAAAAGCCATTATTGGTAAGCTTCCCTTCCCTGCTCCCTCTTCTCTATTTCTCAAGGCATTCACTGGATTCTTTTTGCTTTTTATTTGTAAACTTTATCTCACTAGTCTAAGCTGAAGTTGGTAAATAGTCTTCCTCACCTCCTATGTTCCAGCCATGAGGAGAGGAGAGAGAGAATGATAGACTGAGTGACCTTTGCTCATGGTTTCAATTCTAGGGATAGGACTTTGATTTTATGGTGCTCAAAAATGAACTTATTTGTACAGTTTTATAGTTAGTGCCAATCAGCTACGGCCAGGAGAGTATAAATTCACTGTGGGAATTTACTTCTCTAGACTGGAGGGTTAGTTAAGAGGTCATTGTAAGTTAGGCAGAGATCCTAAAGGATGTTTGCTACAGTTACACATTTTGAATTTTTAACTGTTGTTTAATGTATTGGTTGGAAGATAGCAGACTACATTAAATTTAGAAAAGTAATAAGAAAATTGTGCAGGAATTTCCTCCCAGTAAGCTACAGAGTTGAGTCTTAATAAAGCCAGTTGCGCTTGTGTGAGTGAGGAGTATTACAGACTGAGGAGACAAGAGTGCTGGGATGCTGGAAATGTTCTCTGTCTTGATCTGGGTAGAGTAGTGATTACACAGATTTATGCATGTGTCAGAATTCATCAGGATGTTTGCTGTATGTATGATGTATGTAAGTAGTATCTCAGAAAGTCTAGGCAAAGTTGATTTTTTGATTTATCTACCTTTGCTTGTCATGTAGATGCCCATATATCATTATGTTTTTGGCAATTTAATTTTAACTTTTCTCTTTTATTTCACCTAGATACATTTTTGATAGATATTCATTTGTCACATAATTTTGAGTGTTTCAGAAGTGTAAATATTATGATGACATTTTTAATACATGATATAAAAAACCTAATGCTTGGTTTACTTTCTCCCCTAATTTAGGAGCTGTGACTGATGAAAATTAAAGGCCATGGATGAAGATGGACTTGAATTACAACCGCAAGAACCAAACTCATTTTTTGATACAACAGGTATAACTATTTGGGTTGTTCCACTTCCCAACTACCAGATTTGGAGTTGGTTGTCAAGTGGACAAATTGCTAGATGCTCTCGTTGATATTCACATTTATGTATTTTATTATCCTGTCAAACCTACAGATGTTAAAGTGAGTACATTATTATTTCCCTGCCTAAAAATATGGCTCCCTCTTAACCATCACTCATATTCTTGTCAGTAACAGCAACAGGATCAAAACCTTAGTGTATAGTTCAGTTATAGCATTAAGTTCTATTAAAGTTCTTCCTTTGAAGATATTCCTTGCTTACGTCTCTTCATTCTACTTTCTTCCACATAGACCAACTCTATCATCTCATTCTTAGTCTTCAGTAACTTTTAAATTCTTTTCCTTCCCCTTAGTCGCTTTTGCCTAGCCCAGTAATCAGAGTACTCATCATAAAATAACATGTGAATCTTGTCATTTCTCTGTTTCCCATTATCCAGCAGGTAAAGTATAAACCTAAGGCACTCTGTTTTCTGACCCCATCCTACTTTTAAAATCCTCTCTCTCACAAGGTAACAAAAGGAACCATTTGCTTCAGGAAGATGGAGTCTTACCTCACTCCCCAAACTGTTCAAGGAAAACTAAACTTAGGAAGCTCTAAAAATAGAAGAAAAATAAGTATTCACAATTTTTAATTACTCATGGTTCCCATTATATAACATAGTGAAGTGATTATGCTAGGTTTTGTAATGTAAAGTGGTTTTATATAACATTAACTAGGAACCCTTATAAATAAAATGTTAATGAGTTTTCCATTGGACTTGAAATGACTATTTGTAGTATATTAAGGAAATAGTAATTAACTATCAGAAAATTAAATATTAATGATATTTTAACTTTTCTTTAATCTCTAAATCTAATGGGGGTTTGTGTATTTTTCTTAACAATATGGGATAGTCTTTTGATTCACCTTTGGTAATTTCAGCTTGATAATGATAAATGCAAAGTTACGATTCTTTCTTCTTTAGAACATGAAGTATAATTAATGTGCTTGAAGGAGAGACTTAAGCTCTTTGGAGAAAAACGCACGCTATTGACTAGCTTGATCTTGCCGCACGCAAGCCTAGATCATGGGCTGAGGGGTCGATTGAAGGGCTGTTGCATTTTAGCCCTGATTGTTAACACTTATGGTGTTTGTTTATCTTTGAGCAAGTCACTTAATCTGCCAGGGCCTCCATTTCCATATGTCCTAATAATAATGAAACCTTTCATTACAGTTTTTCAGAACACTTCCCATATATTCCCATTTGATCATCACAACAGTCCTGTGAGGTATGCATGGCAGATACTACTGTCCTCATTTTACTGATGAGGAAACTGAAACTCAGAGGTTAAATGACTTGCCCAAGGTCACAAAACTAATAAGTGTCCAAATCTTGCCCTGTGGTTTAGATTTTTTAACCAGTACTCTTGCCACTAAATGCTTTCATCTTCATGCCTGCAAAATGGAAATTACTGTGCTCTATTGCTTGATGTTACATTGAGAATATTGAAAACAGTATAAAACATTCTGTGTAAGTTCTATGGGAATTAAAGCAAACACTTTGTTACTTCTAGGAATAATTAAAATTAAAATGAATATTAACTGGCTTTAAGATGTCTTACATTTTTAAAGGTTCTTTGGCCCTTGTTGATTATTTGTGTTCGTTAAAAAATTTTTTTAAAAAGCCCTGTGTGTGTCTGTGGGCCTGGCCATTGATAACAGTCATTGAGTTAGGCAGCTGCTTGAACTCAGCTTGGTCTGAGTCACATCCAGAAGCACTAATCGACTGAATAGCTTTTTAGGTAAGACTTGTATAAAATATTGTTTGCTTTTCTCTGGATAAGGAGCCAAGATACTGGATTTGTCTTGTCTTACATTATGTTTTTGGCAAGGATATCTGATTTTGATTCTCATTTGTGGCATTCATTCAGAGTAATATTTACTGAGCACCATAATCTGTGCAAACTGTGTGATCTTGGTGAAGTCATTTAATCTCACTGGGCTTCAAATGATTCAACCCTCTACCTTCATTCGTTAACTGCAGAGTGGACTAGAATAGGGTTTCTTATATTCTGAGGAATTGGGGGATTGGGATATGGGAAGATGGGAGGAAGCTGGATGGAGGCAGATCACCCTGGTGAGGTTGGATCAGGCCCTGCTCCAACTAACCTTACCCTCCACTGCTGCAGAGCAGCTACACTTTTATTCATCTTACCTCTTCACAGAGGCTCCTTAACCAGTTGTCTTTCCTCTTTAAACTGTGGCCTTCTAGCCCTGGTTTTATTTATGGCCCAATCCTTTTTATATTCTAGATTCAGAAGATAGTTTCTGAATTTCCATAGTCATAAATGGAGGATATTGGTGGGATATTGTCCTCAAACAAAACAGGAGAAAGGGGAAAAAATGGAAGGGAAGTAAGAAAACATGGGAGAGATGAAAAGGAGAAAAAACATGAGTTAAGAGAGACATGGAGCAAGAAGGGAAAGAAGTGAAAAACATAATGAGGGAAATGATATATTTATCTCCTGAAGTTGCTTTACTTACTAATTTTTATAATCATCCCTTTAGTACCTATACATATGGGTTTAATCTTAGTCAGCCTAGGAAATCACTTTCATGAATATATTTTTTGTGTGTGACTCTCAATTTGTTTTTCTATTATTTCCTTATCAATTGATTTGGGATGAGTATAAAAATTCTTGTGTTAAGAATTTCTGATATGATTTAAAAGTAGATTCCCTCTTTATTTCTTTAACCTGTCTTAATGTTTGAGACAACTGAGGAGCTCTAGACTGTTTTCCTGGTAGAACTTAAGTAACATTTGTATTAATTGAGGTAGTCATGCAGGTCTACCTGAAATTTGTGATTTTAATTTTTGTTTTTTTAAGGAGCTGATGCTACACACATGGATGGTGATCAAATTGTTGTGGAAGTACAAGAAACTGTTTTTGTTTCAGATGTTGTGGATTCAGACATAACTGTGCATAACTTTGTTCCCGATGACCCAGACTCAGTTGTAATCCAAGATGTTATCGAGGACGTTGTTATAGAAGATGTTCAATGTCCAGATATCATGGAAGAAGCAGATGTATCTGAAACAGTCATCATTCCTGAGCAAGTGCTGGACTCAGATGTAACAGAAGAAGTGTCTTTAGCACATTGCACAGTCCCAGATGACGTCTTAGCTTCTGATATTACTTCAGCCTCAATGTCTATGCCAGAACACGTCTTGACGAGTGAATCCATACATGTGTCTGACATCGGACACGTTGAACACATTGTTCATGATAGCGTAGTAGAGGCAGAAATTGTCACTGATCCTCTGACAGCCGATGTAGTGTCAGAAGAAGTATTGGTAGCAGATTGTGCCTCAGAAGCAGTCATAGATGCCAACGGGATCCCTGTGGACCAGCAGGAGGATGACAAAGGCAACTGTGAGGACTACCTTATGATTTCCTGTAAGTCTTGTGGTACAGTGATTGTCAAAGGTGTTTTCAAAGGTTGTCTTTCCTAACTTAGGTTGGGAGGATATTTTCTTGACTTCTATAAAATTAAATTAAATCTCATTGACCTTTCTTCATTGTTTCAGTCTGGACCCTGTAAGATAACTCAAAATTAAGACAAGTGAAACAATACAGAATAGATTCATTTCTTTTTAAGGACACAATAGAAAGATGAAATTTCTTTCGTCTAGAAAGACAAAGATGGAAAGGAATAGAACTGAACTTTATGAAAACATAAAGGATGTGATTAGGCTGTTATGAGCCTTTATTAGAATTAGGAACCCTCTTGAAACTTAAAAGGAGAAAAATGTGTAATCAGACTACTTATATTCTTGTATATGGATGTACAGTACTACTTACATAATACTTATGTACTTATACAGTATGTAAAATGCTGTTTATTATAACAGCATGGAAAAGAGCTCTGGCATAGTATTTAAACAAATGATTCTAAAACATGATTTCAAATGTAACAGACTCATACTAGATTATCGAAGAAAAGTAACTGTTTTGGAACACACCTCTAACATCTGGGAGGACGACTGTGTCTTCTTACAATGGTTCTTGGTGCCTCTGTCAGAGATAAAATCCACAGTTGAATAGACCACAGTTCTGACTCAGTGTGGAAATTCCCAGGCCTTTAGGAACTAAATTCAAACAAGACTCACAGACTATTTGCTCATATAAATTTATGAGACTGTTTGCTTTGCTTGAATACCTGTTAGAATTAATTTAATAGAACATATTGGAGTCCACCAGCATTTTAGGAAATAACTTTTAAAAGTTCTTAAGATTTTGGAAATCAGAGAATTGTTTGTGTGAAAAGAAGAAAAATGCCAACACGTTTATTGTGCCTCTACTGTGTTTCAGAAATTTGTGTGGATAGTGCAAATATAGACTATAGCCTGCCAGGCTCCTCTGTGCATGGGATTTCCCAGGCAAAATTACTGGAGTGGGTTGCCATTTCTTCTCCAGGGGATCTTCCCAACCCAGGGATCAAACCTGCATCTCTTGTGTCTCCTGCATTGGCAGGCGGATTCTTTACCACTGCATCACCTGGGAAACCCAAGAATATGGATATATGCTAAATAAAAAAACACAAAAAACCATTGTTCTTGGAGAGCTTGCAGTCTACAATGGGAGAGAAAGATAGGTCACACTATGATGTAGAGGTATGACTAAATTAATGTGGAGACGGAATGGAGTTGCTGACCTTTGAACTCAACGATGAGTTCCAAGTTTAACAAGATGCCGAAGGTCATGGGTGAGAAGGAGCCATTCCGGGAAAATGGTATAGTATGGCAAAAAAGGTCTTGGCTTCTTCTGAGAATAATGGGAACTTTAGGATGTACTTGTATCTTTGTGCACTTTCTGTTTAATTACTTAGAATGCATTTCTAGAAGTAGTAGTGATGAATCAAAGGGTACACATATTTACAAGTCTGGTTATATTTGCCTTGATAGTTTGCCTAATATTAACTCCACCCACAAAGTTTATGAGAATGTCCATTTCCCTACATTCTGATCAGCATAGGACATTGTTTCCCCTTTTAATTTTTGCCATTCTGACAAGGAAAAATATTAATACCCTGTTTGAAACTTGAATTTATTTTAGGAAGATAATCCTGGTAGTAATTTGGAGTAAGAATAGGTGAGGAGAGGTTAGTGGTAGAGAGGAGTTGAAATGGTTCCTAGATGAGACAAAGAAGATCCTGAGTACCTTCATAATAGTGGGAGTATAGAAGGGGAGTTCAATTTAAGAGAGTTTAGGAAGTAAAATTAATGTGATTTGGTGATAGATGAGGGGTAGGGATTTAAGGGAGAAAGAATTCGAGGAGGACCCTAAGGTATTCTACCTTGGGAGATGGCTGCCTGGTTATGCTGTTACCTGGGAGGAGGAATAAATTCAATGGAAAGAAAGTGATTTAGGACCTGTTTAAAGTTTGGGTTGTTTGCTGGGAACAATCTGGTGGATGTTTCTGTGGAAGTTAAAAATATGAATTTGGTGCTTTTGAGAGAGTTTGTGACTAGAGAGGAAGAAATTTGGGACAAGAGATTGTATAGCTGGTGTCCTATCCTATCTGGAAATGGATGGTGGGCCCCAGAAAGTGCTTATCAAATAAGGATGTCAAGTATTGATCCTTTGGGAATTTAAGAAGTAGGCAGAGAAGAGCCAATGAAAATCAGGAAGGTTTAGGAAAAAGAGGAAGAGAAAAATCTTTAGAGTGTTTTTAACACAAAGATAAGAATTGCTAAGAGTGTCAGTCACTGAGGAGGGAGTGGCCTTTTTCTTTAGGCAGTTAGGAGGTCATTGGTATCTTTCAATGAGCCTTTGTTTTTATTTTTGTGGAAAGGCAACTTTATTTATTAATTAAATTTCTTTTGTTGTTTATTTATTTTAATTGGAGGATAATTACTTTACAGTGTTGTGATGGTTTTCTCCATACATCAACATGAATCAGCCACAGATAGACATGTGTCCTCACATCCTAAACCCCCCTCCCACCACCCTCCCCTAATGTATATCCCTAATGTATATTACCATATGTAAAAAGATTTTTATTTTAACTATTGGGTGTAATATAGGCTCAAGGATGTATAGTACAACATGAGGAATATAGTCAATGTTTTGTAATAACTGTAAATGAAAAGGAACTTTAAAAATTATAATAAAAAGTTATTGGTATCCTAATTAGAATAGTTTCAATAAAGCATGGGCCAGTGGAGAGGGCATAGAGGAGATAAGCTATAATGAGTTGAGAAGTTGGTGGAAGTGGTGGAGTAGGTGAAGCAGTTTGTATAAGTTGCCATTTTGGTCACTGAAGGGACAGAAAAAGCATGAGTACAGGTTTTGATGGTTGGCTGGATGGTAGAAGTGTGTTGAGCATTTAAAGGTTTATAGGTGCAGAACACAAACTGTTGAACAGGAACTGAAGATAAAGGAACTAACAGGTGGAGCAGATTCCAGAGAAGAGGAATGGAGTAGGGTCCAGGGCAGTGGTGGAAAGCTGATAGGTGAGTCCTAGAAAGGAAGAGTGAGAGAGAGGTAGTTAAGGTTCAGGAAGATTGGAGAGCCTGAGACAGTGAGTTTAAAAGGAGTGTTTGAATGTTGGGAGCTATTTTCTCTGTGTAGCAAATACACCTGCTAATATAGAAGAACCTGCAGAGGTTGGGTGGGAGCTGAAGGGTAGTAGCAAAGGCCTTTATCTTATGGGGATGGGCCAGGATAGGAAGCTAAGAGCCTATAAGATAGATTGCTGAACTGCAGGGGCCAGGTGAAATTGGGCGACTTAAGTTTATTTGTAAGATGCATTATTTAAAAAAAAAAAGATGCATTATTTAGTATGAAAATGCTATTTTTAAATGTAACTGCTAGATTTTGTATTCCCACAACTAGGCAACCCAAGGGCAGGGCTGGAGAAGGGAGAGAGTTGGGTTCATTGTGCTTTTTGAGGGGACAAGGATCTTTGTCTCCATCAATGGAGAGAAAGAACTTTCCATTCTTCACTTGTCTTTCCATTTTCTGCCCTGTCTTAAACCTGTTTTCTGAGGAGGAAAATGCAACTAAAGGTTCGACCTTTAGTTGCACAGCATCTCACTTTATTACCCTTTTAAGAAGTCAACTCTTCAAGAAGGTTATCCAAAAAGCCAGAAGTTTCTTTAGTAATGGTTGACACAGTGTACTAGATTCTTGGATTAGAGCTCAGACTTGCAAAATTTTTATTAAAAAATCTTTGTAATCATCTTTTTTGGGGTTTCTGCTAATTTATATAGATTTTAATGTTTCCTGAAAAAGTAAATACAAATGGATACAAACTGCTATTATACTGTATTTCAGTATATTTTATATATGTACATAAAAATACATATTTTAATATAAAATGCAATTTTACTTTTTGTTTCTTTCTTTACTTTTAAAATAGAATATCACACCCAAGCTCAAAGAATATAAAAACACATATATATTAGTACAAGTTCTTATCCCCCTATTTTACTCTAAGGAAATGGTTGGATTGGTTTTAAATTGGGTTTAGGGATGGTGGCTTTTGGAAGTTTCTTTTGTCTTCTCTATTACACAGACACTTCTTCACTGTTTTCCTCTACTCCACACTGTCATCCCTTTTCCCTTAATCATGTTAAACTGTTGACTTTGGAATCAAACCAGTTGAATGCCTTGTAATTAATTAGCTTTTCTCTTGTTTCTGCCTCCCAGTAAAGACACTTCTTTTATGCTGCATTTTAACTTAAAACCTATATTGATTTCAGAAGTTTAGGATTGAGAGGGCTTTGTGCCAAACATATACAGGAATGGTCTGATTTTATCTGTGATAGAGAATGCTGAGATTCCATAATTAGCAGTCAGCTTTAATGCTCTTCATAACATGATGAGAGATGGTGGTATCTCTGAATTCCTGTGATGTTTATTCATTACTTGATAGGTCAAAGAAGAATATGAACAGATGTGCAAATATTCTTCTCATTAAAAATTTCAGGAAGTCATTGAATCGAAAGAAAGAAAGATAGCGCTAAGTCGTGTCCAACTATTGCGATCCCATCAACTGTAGGCTGCCAGTTTCCTATGTCCATGGGATTCTCCAGGCAAGAATACTGGAGTAGATTGCCATTTCCTTCTCCAAAGGAATTAAAGAGACTGCTAAATAGCTTTCATAGACTTTAGTGTCCGTCTTGGCAGATTTCTTCCCTCTGAAGGTCTCATTTAAAAAGATGATGACATAGCAAGTAGTAGTGTTGTGGGTAGTGTACAATGGCACACTCTTTTTCACAGTATAAGCTGCCTTTGAAGTCAGGATGATCTTTATCTTTGCCGTCTAGATGTTGTGATTGCTTCTAAATTGTTTCTTGAGGACAAGAACTATCTGTTGCATCTTAGCTACTTATGTATCTTCCCCATCAAACCCTTTGGCATATTAGATGTGAAATATTTGTTGAATAAAT